CATGTTATTACATTCTATGACAGATTGCTCTAAAAACGGTAAAAGATGAAGGTCAAGACGTTTTTTTGCAGATTATAGCTTAATTGTAAAAATAATCATTTAAGACCACATGTACCCCAATTAAAATAATGTTAGTCTCTTTTTGATGTGGGACTTTTACATGTTTGTCTAAAAAATAGGGAATAAATAAAATTGAAAGGTGATATCCTCTTGAGCAAACCCTGATGTTGATACGCTGAAGAAATACGTTCCAACATCCATTCTTCCCACTCCTATTTTGGACATCAATCGCTTATTTATTTTGCATGAACTATGTATAATTACATTTCTTTTATTTTGTTTTTGTTTTTTATCTCAAATGTCCAAATAATAATAATAAAAAAACATTAATCAAAACATTCATTCAGCATTAGCACGGCTGTCATGGCAATGTGAATGGAGACGGACAAACAACTGATAAAATAATTTCCTGTGTTTGCTGCTGGATTTGGTGTGAATCTGGCAACCTGAGTCAGGGAGAGTGGGAGAGGACTACAAAATCTTGACTGTGACTGCAGTACCACTTTTGGCCAGATTTTTACATATTGCTCCTTTAATTCTGTGGTCACAAAAGCACAATCAGAATCATGTAACAGGAGGTCACAGACTATTGCTCTGGCTGTCAGTGCAATGACATATCAAGTCAGATTCTCCAATTATATCAGCTGTAGACAGTCTGTGGAGAGTAAGTGTTAATTTTTATAACCCACATGAACTGTTTTTATCATTTGTGTTCTACATTTCTGATTTCTGACTAAAAGCAGGATTTCTATCTTTGTGAAAAAGGTGTTGGTTATAGATTTGTTGTTGACAAAACTCTTGTCTATTCAGCTGTTATGGTCCCAGCTGAATTCGTCTGCATATCTGGCAACCTGAGTCAGGGAGAGTGGGAGAGGCTGCAGTACCACTTTTGGCCACATTGTTACACACTGCTCCTTTAAACAAATCCATGAGTCTGTCTGTAGGCAGCAATGCACAGAAATGTGACGGAAGAAAGACCCCAATAAAATTGTGACATGGTCCAGTTGATTTCTGGTTTGTATCCCTGACATAGACTGATCACTAATAATTAGAAATGACTGAGGCTTGATCTTGAGCAAAATCCCATTACCGTATGGAACTAAGGACAAAACACTGTCACGTAAGAATATAACACCTGTAAATGACACTTGGCTTTGTCCTTGTCGTATTTAGTAATGTGAGCACTGCTAATGGTAGATCAGGTTATTCTAATTAGCACTAATGAGTACATTACATTAGCCATAGAGCGCTGCTGCTGAAGTCAGATGACGGCTCTATGCAGCGATGATGCTAATGTCTTTATAGATTAGAAGCAGTCGTTCCAGACATCGATGACATAAATACGTGTTATGCCGAGGAGCGTGAAGATTATTTCTGCATAATGACAGAATGGACTCTTTCCATAAGCGCTTTAGGATGACAACAACCAAGATGACAGGTCGAAAAAGCCTAAATTCTGTCAAAAAGCTGTACTTAAGAAGACAAAAAGACCAAGGCTATTTTGAGAAGAGAAGGGATTCATTTGTAAAACTTGCCTGAAATTGAAACCCACCGATTAGTCCCAGTATGTGTAAAAAGCAGTAAAGCGTCAATACGTATAATACCTATAATTCTTAATTGTCGAAATCAGAAAGTTAGATAAAAATGTGTATTCATCATTCAAAAGATAACTATATATTTTCACAGTATTGTCAAAATGTGCAAGAATGAATATTGCCCTTATTTGTGTCTATCTATTAGGTAGATTAGGACGGCACGGTGGCTGAGTGGTAAGCAAGGTCCTGGGTTCAAATCCCAGTGGGAACAGGGTATTTCAGAGTGGAGTTTGTATGTTTTTCTTTGGGTTTCTCCGGTTTCCCCTACCACTAAAAACCTGCGCTGTACTATGGCAACCACTGCTCCTGACAGACGCCTTAGTGGCATCAGGATGGGTCAAATGCAGAAGAAGAGTTCTAAAGCGTACATTTGTATAGGCACTAATGTAGTTGGTACTTCTTGAACTTGATAAATCAGCGTGTAAATCACATTAACATGAAATGGGTGAGTGTAAAGTGTAAGCTAATGGGTGTGTTTTTGTCTGTCCTGAAAGTCAAAAACCTAAACAGTTTTATCTCTGCCAGTTTCGATGCTGATCCCAAAGAGAGACTTGCATAATAGACCGGGTGCTTTTCACTGCAGTAAAATACACTGTACCTCAGCTTGGTGCAATCTGCTGACTCACTGCTACAGAAGTACCGATCAGCAGGACAAAAGCACCTCTGCTGCGAGAACAAAGCATATTTTTAGAGTCTGCTAAATCCTAACACCGAAAGACGCAGTGGGCAAAGTTGGACACCGTCACTGCGCAGATTGTGTAATTAAGCCTGGAAGCGAGTGGAAGCCAATGTGGTATTCCCAAACAATGTGGAGAACAGCCAGAGATACAACAGAGGATCTCTTTATCAACCAAATGTTCAGTTAAACCAAGACAGAGCCGCCTGAATGACAACAGCAGCGTACACTAATAATGCTCTTCTTTGAGATGAAATCGGCCTAAATAGGTCCAGGAGGTATTCCATTTTCTTGTTGGTGATTTGTGACAGATCTGGGTTGAATGAGAAACCACACGGGGAAAGAGTTCCATTACACGTGATCATGAAGAAGCTCGGGTGATTTGTGGAGGCTTTTCAAAACATGGGTAAATAATTGACTGCGGTGAGAAGAGGGAAAGTGAGTCCACATGGATCTGTCTCAGCACCTTTCATTACAGAGACTGCACACCTGCCAGAAACACTGGTGTCTGAGGCTGAGTTTACACGGAGACAATGTGGCAGTAAAACGGTATAGGTCCTGTTTATACTGAGACGCTGCGCAGACGTTTCCAGGCTATTAACAGAAACGACCTGGCTCCTAATGCAAATTTCTCGGCGTTCACATGAGGTTGAAAAACGATGTAGTTCTAGCGCCCGGCCAGTAGTGGGCAGAGAAACTTTATCAACACTCACACGACCCCCCCGCCCCGTGCCCAGCCGGGGGGGCTGAACTATACCGTTTTACTGCCACATTGTCTCCGTGTAAAACTCAGCCTTAGTTGGTGTCGGTTTCTACCAACCGTTCATACAAAGACAGTGTTTCAGGTGAAAACGTAAGTGTTCAGATCCAGCCTCAGAGTGGACAACTCAGAAACGCTGCACAGCAGGGGCAGTGACTTTCACACCACGCGAGAGGCCAGGAAAAGGTGTGAAATCCCCAATACACCTGCTGTATACACCTATATACACCTGCTGTATACACCTATATACACCTGCTGTATACACCTATATACACCTGCTGTATACACCTATATACACCTGCTGTATACACCTGTATACACCTGCTGTATACACCTATATACACCTGCTGTATACACCTGTATACACCTGCTGTATACACCTATGTACACCTGCTGTATACGCCTATATATGTATAATCTTTATTCCGGACTCAGGGTCCATACAAGAGACAACACAAGGACACCACAAGACACAGAAACATAAAAAATAAAATAGGACTCATTTACAAAGACACTTGTACCAGTGTTCCCAGAACTGAGAAATATAGCGTGTTGTACTGAACTTGGCATTCACCAAAACAACAACAACCAGGTTCACAGACTCGTTCAATCGGCGAATAAAACTAAACATTGCATTTCTCAGGACAGACTTCAGTGTGTTCACTCTGTTGCTCACGAACAACTCACTCGCTCGAGTCGATCTGGGCTTCTTTAACAGCATCCTCAGAGCGTCATTGAACGCTACCTGCAGCTTCTGAAGAGTAGCTTTTTTGTAGTTCAACCACAGATGTGCAGAGTATAAAGGAGAGCAGTAAGCTTTAAATAAGGTCAACTTCACTTCAACAGTGCAGCAACCAAATTTACGCACCAAAGCATTCGCCCTCACATACAACAAACGATACTGCCGAATAATGTCCTCATCATCTGTCAGCCGATCTGTGATCAGATGGCCAAGATATTTAATTTTACTACAGATATTAAGAACCTTTCCAGCAAGTCGAAAAGCTGGAAAGATTAAATGTCCTCTGTGGTTCTGCAGATCATAATGGCACTTTTGGAATCATTGTACTTTACATCATGATTTTCCCCAAACACTGAACATATACTAAGAAGTTGCTGCAGACCAGCTGAGCTCGGACTAAAAATGACACAATCATCTGCATACATTAGATGGTTCAGCATTGTGCTGCCGACCATGCAGCCAGTTTTACATGAGTTAAGACTATGAGATAATTAATTCATATAAAAATTAAATAAAATTGGGGATAAGATGCTCCCTTGTCTTACTCCATTACTCACATGAAAGGGAGCAGACAAGCAGCTGTCCCATTTCACTTGCATGGTCTGTTGGGCACACCAATATGACAGGATTCTGACAATGTATTGAGGGACACCTGCTGCAACCAATTTCTTGAATAGTTTCCAATGATTCACTCGGTCAAATGCCTTAGACGCATCTAAGAAACACATAACACCTGCTGTATACACCTGTATACACTTGCTGTATACGCCTATATACACCTGCTGTATACACCTATATACACCTGCTGTATACGCCTATATACACCTGCTGTATACGCCTATATACACCTGCTGTGTACGCCTATATACACCTGCTGTGTACGCCTATATACACCTGCTGTATACACCTGTATACACTTGCTGTGTACGCCTATATACACCTGCTGTGTACACCTGTATACACTTGCTGTGTACGCCTATATACACCTGCTGTATACACCTGTATACACTTGCTGTATACAGGTGTATGCAGCAGTTATGCAGTCATTGTGATTAATCGTGCAGCCCTGCGACCAACTATTGATCGTGATTGTTGTGTTATTGTTAGCGATCTTTGCCTCAACTTGAAGATCAGATCAAAACCAAACTGGCTCAGACAAACTCAGAGATGGAGAGGTGTGGGGAGGGGCCGCCCGCAGGGTCTGCAGAAAGGATAAGTTTTCTGATTGATGTAAGTTTGTAATCATTTATAACGAGCCAGTTTAAAACCATAGCAGTGTTAATGTCGGCTGATTATCATGTGTTTTAGAAAGTCACAGCCTTCACTCACAACACCATCAGCCTCACCTCAGGAGAGGAGATTAACCATGAACGAAACCTCTATTCCACACTGAGGAAGGAGTTTGGGCTTTGGAAAAAAACCATTGAGGATTCTGGGATTACATGTAAGATCTAAAAGTATTCACCTAAAAAACCTCCTCACAATGTTTAAATGACGTCCAGACGAACACTTGAAGCTGAAGTACATTTACATGTGAAGAATATTCCACATTTGTACTTATTTATAAAGTGCCAAGTTGGACACAGAACAGCTGCTGCTGCTGTAGTATGTGTAGTATATATATAGTACCACTGTATAAAACCAATGCATTATTATTACTAATATTTCATTAACATTATCTTCGATGTCCTTTCAGTCAGTTGGAAGCTTGGCCAAGAGGTGGCCCATTATGATCGGATGTATAGAGGCAGAGAACTGCCCGGGTTCATTAACTACAAGATGTTTGAACGAGTGATTAAAGAGCAGATCAAGCTCCTGGAGGAGCCGGCCATCACCAAACTCCAACAAGTGTCAGGTGGTCACCAACATTCTCCACTAGTCTCATCTTCACATGGTGTCAGTGAACATGTTCTCTGTGTTCCTACAGAAATGATCAAGAAGGAGATGCTGAAGCTGGCACAGGAAAGCTTTGAGGGATTTCCAAATTTGATCAAAACAGCCAAAGTATTGTTTTATTTTACTACTTGGAAACATTTCTCCGTAACATAAGAAAACATGCACATTTTCTCACAGATCAAAATTGAGGACATCTGTGAGGACAAAGAGGCTGCAGCTGAGGCCATGCTGAGGACTCAGATCCAAATGGAGATGATTGTCTACACACAGGACGGTAGATACGGCAAGAAGTTGGGGAAACGCAAGCGAACCGAGGCTAACGATGCTCCAAGTCAATCTGTGTTCAGCACCTTCAGCCCCAACAGCTCCATCAGCTCCAACAGCACCACCCTCAAAGAAATGATGACCCATCTGAAATCCTACTACAATGTAAGATGTCCTAAGATCATAATGAAATACATAATAATAATATATTACAGAAGCGTGTTAGGTTCACTTGTGAGTGTGTTTTTGCTGTAATCAGGTTATTTCATGATAATTTCATGTTCCTACAATGGATCACGTTATTTCATGATATAAAACTATCATGTTATTTCATGATACCAATTTATTATGAAATACAAGATCCTGTAGATGCAGAAGAAGAAGCTGTAGACGCCAGACCATGTGCCAGACCATGTGCCAGACCAGCGGTGCACCAGGAATCTGGAATGTTTCAGGCAAAGGACCCTCTTTGCTCCTTTCTGCGACAGCGACGGGTGTCAGAGGCTTCTTCTTCTTCTGCATCTACAGTATCTTGTTATTTCATAATAAATTGGTATCATGAAATAACACGATAGTTTTATATCATGAAATAATGTGATCCGTATTTTGTACGAACATTAAATTATCTTGAAATAACAAGAAATTATCATGAAATAACGTGATACCAGCAAAAAAATAATACTTGCAAGTGAACCCAACACGCTTCCGTATAATATAATATTAGAAATTAGCTATTATAAAAGAACAATTATACACACACACCATAAACACACACCATAAACACACATGCATACACACACCATAAACCCACATACACACACATGTATACACACACACACCATAAACCCACATACACACACATGTATACACACACACACCATAAACCCACATGCATACACACCATAAACACACATGCATACACACCATAAACACACATGCATACACACCATAAACACACATGCATACACACCATAAACACACATGCATACACACACCATAAACACACATGCATACACCATAAACACACATGCATACACACCATAAACACACATGCATACACACCATAAACACACATGCATACACACACCATAAACACACATGCATACACACCATAAACACACATAATACACACACCATAAACACACTCTTCTGTAAATAAAACCATATATTTGAAAATAACTTGTTGTGAGACAGATTGCGGGGCAGCGGCTGGCGGACTATTTGCCGATGGTAATCAGATACCAGCTGCTGCAGGAGTCGTCCGTGGAGCTGCAAAGACAAATGCTACAGTCACTTCAGAACAAAGAGGAAGTGGAGGATCTTCTGAAAGAGGACTGCACCATGGGAGAAACCAGGACCAGACTGCAGCAGCGCCACCACCGCCTCCACCAGGCCCGCTCCCTGCTGTCCAAGTTCTGAGAGCACACACACCATACACGCACCATACACACACACACACCATACACACACACACACACCATACACGCACCATACACACACACCGTATACACACACACACGCACCATACACACACACACACACCATACACACACACACACACCATACACGGCACGGTGGCTGAGTGGATAGCACTCTCGCCTCTCAGCAAGAAGGTCCTGGGTTCGAATCCCAGTCGGACCAGGGCCTTTCTGAGTGGAGTTTGCATGTTCTCCCCGTGTCTGCGTAGGTTTCCTCCGGGTACTCCGGTTTCCCCTACCACTAAAAATATGTCCAATAGTTCTGGCATGTGCCTCCTGTACTGGCCCCGCTCCCATCTCTGTGTGGAGTGAGAGACAAATGCCCAAAAATTAACAATTGTAAACCGCTTTGAGACTCAGATCTGCAGTGAAAAGGCGGTATATAAATAAAGATTACTTACTTACTTACTTACCATACACACACACCGTACACACACACACACACCATACACACACACACACACCATACACGCACCATACACACACACCGTACACACACACGCACACCATACACACACACCGTATACACACACACACACCATACACACACACCGTATACACACACACACCATACACACGTACACACACCATACAGGCACGTTCCCTACTGTCAAAGTTCTGAGAGCATACATATACCATAAACACACACCATACACACACACACACACACACCATTTTTGGCTTGTTTGAGTATTTTGTCTTATTTCCAGTTTTTTCTTGTTTGGAAAAAATATGTTTGTGATGCTATATTTTAAGAACAAAACTCCCAATGTTTAATGTTTAATAAATAAGTATATAATACTTGAATTGTGTGTTTGTAAACCAGAATAAAGTCATTTGGGGCTAGGATTATTTTCTCATTTTTTTGTTCTAACGACAGGTAATTGTTATTATATTAAGTATTATTTGACGTATTTTCCAGTAAGGTAAAAGTTATTGACCCTTTTGGGAAATCTGCTCTCACTGTGGTTGTGTCCTTAGGCAAGACACTTCCCCCACATTAGAATGAGTCTGGTGTGTGTGTGAGTGGTTGGTGGAGGTGGGAGGGGCCGATGGCACAGACTGGTTAATAGATCTGTCAATTTTGAAATTAGTTTTAGCCCCTAAATCTTGTTATTGTTTTCATTTCGATGTCCCGCCCTCCACCGTTTCACCAATCAGAAAGTCTGTGATCCGGGCGCCAGAACTCACCGCATGGAGCTAATCTCACTGGTAAAGTACCATGTGGAGCTAATCTCACTGGTAAAGTACCATGTGGCGCAGAACTAAAAAAGGTCTCGTTATGATTCTCAAATCATTAACGACAAAACAAGGAATAAAACCAGGATTTCTATCTTTGTGAAAAAGGTGTTGGTTATAGATTTGTTGTTGACAAAACTCTTGTCTATTCAGCTGTTATGGTCCCAGCTGGATTCGTCTGCATATCTGGCAACCTGAGTCAGGGAGAGTGGGAGAGGCTGCAGTACCACTTTTGGCCACATTCTTACATACGGCTCCTTTAACTGCACGACCAGATCATGGATCTATTATAAAAACTTACTAGCTTGTAGCTGAATAACTCATGTGCTCGGGGGATTCTCGTGGTACTGCAGACTGAACCAGACTGAACCAGACTGAACCAGACTGAACCAGACTAAATTCACGTGGGCTACCCGGATATTTTCCCCATAGAACTCAATGTATATTAAAACAGCTCGACCTCAGCTGACAGAGAACCTGACAGAGAACCTGACAGAGAACCTACAGCTTTAATAACGGTTGCATTTTGTGGGGATTTTAGTGTTCCTTGTCATCCTGAACTTTTTTTCTTCTTAAATCCTTCGGTTTTGTTTAAATCCACACTTTAGTGCCACAAACTCTGCTCGTCTGGCTCTGGCTCTAACTCCCGCTCTGATGAACTGCTCTGATTGGTCAGAGCCGAGCCCCTCTGTGCACGTGCGTGAGACCCTCTGTGCACGTGCGTGAGACCCGGTGTGAGACCCACACACGCGTGTTTGACGCAATGCATTATGGGAGATCATCCACTGCACAGAACCGGGAGGACCAGACGATGCCCAAATACAGGCGAGTTTCCCATAGATCTTTGAGAGTTTCTCATAGATCTTTGAGAGTTTCCCATAGATCTTTGAGAGTTTCCCATAGATCTTTGAGAGTTTCTCATAGATCTTTGAGAGTTTCCCATAGATCTTTGAGAGTTTCTCATAGATCTTTGAGAGTTTCCCATAGATCTTTGAGAGTTTCCCATAGATCTTTGAGAGTTTCCCATAGATCTTTGCGAGTTTCCCATAGATCTTTGAGAGTTTCTCATAGATCTTTGAGAGTTTCAGGCGACTTCCGCTAATCTTTCAGCCCCCATGCCGTCACAAAGCGCCACTGAGCACAACATTCATTTGAATAGGGCGCCATCTTGGATCGCCGGGGCTTGGACCAGATCAAAAACCTGTAGTGTCCACGAATAACTCATAGTGAATTTGTTTCTAGTCTTGCTACCTCCGTGACCGTGTGACCCATGTCTGTGTCGTGTGTCTGTGCAGGATCTGCTTGTGACTGTGTTTGAAAATGGCGTCCTCCTTTGTGAATATTCCTTCGACGAGATTCGAAAGAATGCTCGGCTTAAGGACCTTGACCTTAGCTCCACAATGTACAACGAGAAGGATCTACTGGAGAATCAAGTCCTGAATGGAGTGCACTGACGTGGGCCTGGGACGGTGGTCGTTTCCACAGTCGGCCACATCCGGACGGTTTCTGGAGGACGCCATGTTTTTGCAGCAGGAAAGCAACATGAGCTCCTCTTCAGTCCTCACACGGAAGATATAAGAGGAGGTCTAAGAGGAGGTCTAAGAGGAGGTCTAAGAGCAGGTCTAAGAGCAGGTCTAAGAGCAGGTCTAAGAGCAGGTCTAAGAGCAGGTCTAAGAGCAGGTCTAAGAGCAGGTCTAAGAGCAGGTCTAAGAGCAGGTCTAAGAGCAGGTCTAAGAGCAGGTCTAAGAGCAGGTCTAAGAGCAGGTCTAAGAGCAGGTCTAAGAGCAGGTCTAAGAGCAGGTCTAAGAGCAGGTCTAAGAGCAGGTCTAAGAGCAGGTCTAAGAGCAGGTCTAAGAGCAGGTCTATGAGCAGGTCTAAGAGCAGGTCTAAGAACATTCCAATCATGTCATGCTGCTTCTGGGGACCAAACAAATATATTTTACAAAAGTTTTTCTAATGTTTCCCCTCACACGGGTTTTAATACCATATTGTCGGACACTACTTGTCATAGATTTGTTGATAATCTGTCTCTGATGTTCTTTTAACACTCGTATTAAAAGGTGTTTTTGTTTTAAGTGTGAGCATGGTTCGTTTGACACAGTTCTACACACTGACACTGGTTACTGCAGCTTTACTCTCCACAAGATCATTCAGAGGATTGAGGGTCTCCTCGTGTTTCCTAAATATATATAATAATGTATTTTAATCTGCATCAAGAAATGAAATGACGCTTCTTTGTCGCCCTCTGCTGGACTTTTGAAGGTGGTGAAACATGGCCACTGTCTGAGAGCTGCCAGACCTGCCCCAGCCATAATACATCAGTAAGATGTCACAATGTAAAGGCTGAAGGCTGGTTAGTCAGACAAGCAAAATAATACAACATACAATTATTTCTGACTAAATGAATATGCTCCTCCAGAACAGACCGAAATCCCCTGATAATACACACATCACACGTACGTTTACTATATATCGACTTGGTCCTTGTTAGGTTTCACAGTATAATTCCATATATGGAAATATACATATAATATTTATATATATGTGTATATACATATTCTAACTTAGTATAGAATAGGTCATATTCCTCATATATTCTGTTTCACTCATAAGACAAAGCCTTCACTTTAAGATTAAAAATATTTTTCGTTTCCAGGATAAAGGACGTATGTCTCCGCCCATAACACCTGCAGGGTTTAGACTCATTGTCGAGTAGTTCTTCTTGAATTTGGTGATAAGTTTCCATTTCCCGTGTAGCCAGAGACGGGAAATAGAAAGTCAGAGTCAGAGGTGAGAGAGACGCAGCGGAGTCCTCACATGGTCCTCACCTGGTCCTCACCATGACCAACACCCTGAACCAACACTATGAGGAGAAAGTGCGTCCCTGCATTGACCTGATAGACTCTCTCCGCTCTCTGGGAGTGGAGCAGGACCTGGCTCTGCCCGCTATCGCCGTCATCGGAGACCAAAGCTCGGGGAAGAGCTCGGTGCTGGAGGCGCTCTCTGGAGTCGCGCTGCCCAGAGGAAAAGGTAGAATGATAAACGCTGCTAACCTTTGCAAACTCTCCTGCATTTCAAAACGATGTCTGCAACTTCATTTGTATTTCATTTGGAAAAGAATGCATATTTTTGAACATATGTGTAACGCTTGGCTATAGCGGAGTGAACAATTCATTAGACCATAAGTAGATTCGGCCACAGAACCAGGGTAAGTGAATAAAAACACAAAATCAATTGTGTTTTTAGAAAAATATATATATCGACAGTATTCACAGGTTTTATAAATAGGTATGCGATAAGGATTTTGTATTATGTATTGATAATATAAATAGGGCAGATATAATCAAACATATATTTTACAAATAGATATATACAAAAAAACCAAAAGGTTTTGAAATGATTGCACTACAAAAGTAACAGGTCTTTCCAGGGCTGTCATAGTAATGTGTGCAAATACACATCTGAATGAAGTTTTGGTGTTTCAGAATCATTTTTATTGGCATGTAAGTAACAGGAAGTCACAGACTCTGTTGGTCCAAAACTAGAGCTGCAGCTTTAGGCCCAGTCCCAATACCCACACTGCACCCTACGCCCTCCTATGAAGTGTGCATTTGTTTGAAGTGCGCGCAAGGGTTGGAGTGGCAGGTTACAGCACAAAAGGTGGAATTGGGACAGTGCACACTGAGTGCAGGTTACGCCATCGACTCGTCAAGAGATGGTCATTTTCAGACCTAAACTTTATAAAAATTAAAAGGTAATTTTGTCTGACCCTTTGGGAAACAATATGAATTGCTTCACACACGTTGTAATACATTTATATTAGTTGTTTTTAATTAGAGATAGCTGTATAATTTTAAGTTAAATGTGGGTTACTAACTATCTGGTCAGTTTTTATACATTCTAAGATTATTGTACTAAGTGTAAAGTTTAAATTGAATGTTATATAAACGCTTGCTTTAAAAAGTTATTAAATTGTTAAAGCACAATGTCCGTAATTCTTCATCAGACGTTTATGCTTCTTTCCAAGTAACAGCAAAACTTATTTACACACACACTGCATATATATTTCAAAATTTATATTAATTGCATTTTCCCGTCGTTTTGGTGTGTACCGCAAAGAATTATAGGCAATATCCTTCAGAGTGTGCATAGATGCAGGCTACGGCGAAGTGTGGCTCAGGGGCGCAAAGGGGGCGGGGCCAAAGACCTCCCTGGAGAATTGGGACACCCTACGCACTCGCACCCTTTATCGGGAACGCGCAAATGAGGGGCGCGAGGGTGGAAGTGCGAGTATTGGGACGGAGCTGTAGTTATCTGCAGTTCATCCAGAGTGATCATGGGCCTCTTGGCTGCATCTCTGATCAGTCTTCTCCTTGTTTGAGATGAAAGTTTGGAGGGACGGCCGGGTCTTGGTAGATTTGCAGTGGTCTGATACTCCTTCCATTTCAATATAATTGCTTGCACAGTGCTCCTTGAGATGTTTAAAGCTTGGGAAATCTTTTTGTATCCAAATCCAGCTTTAAACTTCTCCACAACAGTATCTCGGACCTGCCTGGTGTGTTCCTTTGTCTTTATGGTTCTCTCTGTGCTTTAAACAGAACCCTGAGACTATCAAAGAGCAGGTGCATTTATACGGAGACTTGATTACACACAGGATCATTCTATTTATCATCATCAGTCATTTAGGACAACATTGGATCATTCAAAGATCCTCACTGAACTTCTGGACTGAGTTTGCTGCACTCAAAGTAAAGGGGCCCAATAATATTGCACGCCCCACTTTTCAGTTTTTTATTTTTTTTTAAGGATTAAATTATCCAATAAATTTCGTTCCACTTCACGATTGTGTCCCACTTGTTGTTGATTCATGACAAAAAAATTAAATTTTATATCTTTATGTTTGAAGCCTGAAATGTGGCAAAATGTTGGAAGGTTCAAGGGTGCCGAATACTTTCCCAAGGCACTGTATATTAGAGATAGATAGATAGCTTAATTATATTCTTCTTAAAGTAGTTAAGAAATTTGCATACCAAATGATTATGCAATAGAAAAGAGTTGAGCAAATTACTTTTTTATTTATTTACCTGTGTTCTTGGTCTGTGCCATCTTTGTAGATCACTCGTACATGCCAGGGCAGGAGGAACAGCTAGTAGCTGGAGCTGGGAGTAGTTTGCAGTCTGATAAAGAAGTGCAACTACATGGTTGCAAAAACCTTTACCTGCTGCACAACTACAAGAATGAGCCAAGAGCTCAGCCTTTTCAGCACCCAGTGAGATCTAAAGCAGAGAAGTAGTTTTAGAACGGACATAGTTATTACTTGTTATAACTTATCTTATAACGACAGAGATTGTAGTTTAGATTTGCTGCAACAGCAGCAGTACATAGAAAAGCCTATGCTGCAACAGCAGCAGAAGAGAAATAGTAACCACCAAACAGAAAGATGCGAGTATAGGCTCTCAGTTTTACTGGAACTGTCCATCCTATGTGAACGTTCTTCAGCTGTCATCTGTCAGCGACAGAAAAAGTCCCATAGAACTCAATGTAAACTAAAAACGCTTGACGAGATCAAACGGAACGGTCCCAGGAAAATGGCGGACTGAGCACATCTACTTTCTGTTAGCTCTTGGTTTTCTTTCTCCAAAGTTGGTTTATTGAACTACTACCCACCGAAAAAGATCCAAGTCTTTTTAAATGACTTCACAAACATCCTCTGACCAGCTGTCTAAAATGAATACCAACACTCCGGATATTCCACAGAAGCTTCTTGACCACGAATACGCTATGGACACGGAACGGAACAAGGACAAGAGAGGACGGGAAGACTCGGGCCTCGCTACGCCATCGAAAGTTAATGCTCGTAAGATGCCGAAACATGATGATGAAGAAGATATATCAGGCTCAGTCATTCTTGCCGCTATCAACAAGCTCACTGAGAAGTTTGACTCGCAAGAAGACCGCATGAGAGAGTTTGGTGCTAAGCTAACGCAAAACTGTGCGATGCTAGATAGCCTCACAAAGACAACTGAGTTTAATGCAGCAGAAATCAAAGATTGCAAAGTAAGGACAACCCATGTGGAGAACAAAATTACCAGCTTAAAGGTTGAAATTGCTGCACTGAAAGAAAAATGCAGAGAACATGTGAATTACAAAAGAAGATGGAACCTCAAAATCAAAGGCATGAAAGAAGTTATGAATGAAGACACTCGACACGAAGTCATCGAACTTCTGAAGAAAATTGCTCCGCACTGGGCTGATAAGATGGATGAACATGTGGTCGTCCACCGGCTTGGCCCGAAGGAGAACGGGAGAATGAGGAACATCATTGTCCAGTTTCCAAAACGACACCATAGAGATGCAATTTGGAAGATGACAAAAGATTCGAGGATCTGCAAGAGCGCTGGTATCAGGTTTACTGAAGATCTCACCAAGGAGGTCAAAGAGGCCAGAGAGGTATTATGGCCGCTCATTAAACGAGCACGTGAGGAAGGCAAGAAGGCTTATTTCCGTGGGCCTCATGGATATATCAATGGTCGTCGTATCTAGAATTAAATTCTTTCAGTGTTTTATGTGGGTGAGAATTGACAGGAGGAAGAAACCATGTTAACCTATACTACCTTAAAACCCTAAGCACCTTTTTTGACTCTGTTTCTTTGTTTTTGTTTTGCTGCAAGGTTAACCAGCAGATGAATGTTCTAAAAGCCAACTTAAATTTTGTTTCATTGAATACAAGGGGTCTTGAAGACAATTTAAAAAGAAAAGCCATTTTTTTGCACTGCAAAGGAGTTAAATGTCACTACATTTTTCTTCAAGAAACTCATTCATGTGTACTGGACGCCACCTACTGGACAACACAATGGGGAGATAAAATCCTTTTCAGCCATGGAAGTAATCGGTCTGCAGGAGTC